TCTTAAACAAGGCTTAAGCTTCATTTGACATCTTACGCCCAATTGAAATAGGGCTGAGGCTCGCTAACTCTAGCACCCTCGATGTTGTCTTTGTGTCGGCTCACCTGCAACATGTCTCAGCGACTGGCACCAAATGCTGTACTGTTACCTAACATGTGATCAAACAAACAATCTGCCAGCATATCTTGTTTATTCTAGAGGTGGATACATTCTAATGTGTCCAGAGATAATAATCAGATGACAGAGGTGGATACACTCTAATGTGTCCAGAGATAATAGTCAGATGACAGAAGTGGATACACTCTAGTGTGTCCAGAGATCCGATGACAGGAATGAACAAAGTTTGATTCATAAATGTCCTCTTCTTGTTTTTCGTCTTCAGCCTTTGATTCCCCAGTGGATCCAACCCCCCTCCACCAGCTCACGCCAGGTGACCCTTACTCTTGCTATGCATGCAGCTGACCCCATGGCAACCATATCTTTATTCTTCCTTCTCTAGCTCACTTCTCCGTGTGCTTTTTGTGGGGAAGGGGGCGGGGGTGAGGGCGGGGGTGCTCTCTCCCACGCAGACCTGTTTTTTTTCCCCACAATATTCACTAGAATTTGGTTAGTTCTCTTCCAAAACTCAACAGTTGTGGCTCTAACATTGACTTCCCTTGATTCTCCGCAGGCACCAGTTTGTGAATGTTTAAAGTTTGTTATAATTTCTTATCAATAATTGTTTTAGAAGTACTGCATATTTCCGCCCCATACAACAACAGTACTCATCTTATATTATTTCAGCTCCATACAACAACAGTACTGATCTTACATTATTTCCACTCCATACAACAACAGTACTGATCTTACATTATTTCCGCCCCATACAACAACAGTACTCACCTTACATTATTTCAGCTCCATACAACAACAGTACTCACCTTACATTATTTCAGCTCCATACAACAACAGTACTCACCTTACATTATTTCCGCCCCATACAACAACAGTACTGATCTTACATTATTTCCGCCCCATACAACAACAGTACTGATCTTACATTATTTCCGCCCCATACAACAACAGTACTGATCTTACATTATTTCCGCCCCATACAACAACAGTACTGATCTTACATTATTTCCGCCCCATACAACAACAGTACTCATCTTATATTATTTCCGCCCCATACAACAACAGTACTGATCTTACATTATTTCCACTCCATACAACAACAGTACTGATCTTACATTATTTCCGCCCCATACAACAACAGTACTGATATGACATTCATTCAGCTCCATACAACAACAGTACTGATATGACATTCATTCAGCTCCATACAACAACAGTACCGATCTTACATTATTTCAGCTCCATACAACAACAGTACTGATCTTACATTATTTCAGCTCCATACAACAACAGTACTGATCTTACATTATTTCAGCTCCATACAACAACAGTACTCACCTTACATTATTTCAGCTCCATACAACAACAGTACTCACCTTACATTATTTCAGCTCCATACAACAACAGTACTCACCTTACATTATTTCAGCTCCATACAACAACAGTACTCACCTTACATTATTTCAGCTCCATACAACAACAGTACTCACCTTACATTATTTCAGCTCCATACAACAACAGTACTCACCTTACATTATTTCAGCTCATACAACAACAGTACTCACCTTACATTATTTCAGCTCCATACAACAACAGTACTGATCTTACATTATTTCAGCTCCATACAACAACAGTACTGATCTTACATTATTTCAGCTCCATACAACAACAGTACTGATCTTACATTATTTCAGCTCCATACAACAACAGTACTGATCTTACATTATTTCAGCTCCTTACAACAACAGTACTGATCTTACATTATTTCAGCTCCATACAACAACAGTACTCACCTTACATTATTTCAGCCCCATACAACAACAGTACTGATCTTACATTATTTCAGCCCCATACAACAACAGTACTCACCTTACATTATTTCAGCTCCATACAACAACAGTACTCACCTTACATTATTTCAGCCCCATACAACAACAGTACTCACCTTACATTATTTCAGCTCCATACAACAACAGTACTCACCTTACATTATTTCAGCTCCATACAACAACAGTACTCACCTTACATTATTTCAGCCCCATACAACAACAGTACTGATCTTACATTATTTCAGCCCCATACAACAACAGTACTCACCTTACATTATTTCAGCTCCATACAACAACAGTACTCACCTTACATTATTTCAGCTCCATACAACAACAGTACTCACCTTACATTATTTCAGCCCCATACAACAACAGTACTGATCTTACATTATTTCAGCCCCATACAACAACAGTACTCACCTTACATTATTTCAGCTCCATACAACAACAGTACTCACCTTACATTATTTCAGCTCCATACAACAACAGTACTCACCTTACATTATTTCAGCTCCATACAACAACAGTACTCACCTTACATTATTTCCGCCCCATACAACAACAGTACTGATCTTACATTATTTCCGCCCCATACAACAACAGTACTGATCTTACATTATTTCCGCCCCATACAACAACAGTACTGATCTTACATTATTTCCGCCCCATACAACAACAGTACTCATCTTATATTATTTCCGCCCCATACAACAACAGTACTGATCTTACATTATTTCCACTCCATACAACAACAGTACTGATCTTACATTATTTCCGCCCCATACAACAACAGTACTGATATGACATTCATTCAGCTCCATACAACAACAGTACTGATCTTACATTATTTCAGCCCCATACAACAACAGTACTCACCTTACATTATTTCAGCCCCATACAACAACAGTACTGATCTTACATTATTTCAGCCCCATACAACAACAGTACTCACCTTACATTATTTCAGCTCCATACAACAACAGTACTCACCTTACATTATTTCAGCTCCATACAACAACAGTACTCACCTTACATTATTTCAGCTCCATACAACAACAGTACTCACCTTACATTATTTCAGCTCCATACAACAACAGTACTCACCTTACATTATTTCAGCTCCATACAACAACAGTACTCACCTTACATTATTTCAGCCCCATACAACAACAGTACTGATCTTACATTATTTCAGCCCCATACAACAACAGTACTGAACATTATTTCAGCCCCATACAACCAGTACTCACCTTACATTATTTCAGCTCCATACAACAACAGTACTCACCTTACATTATTTCCGCCCCATACAACAACAGTACTCACCTTACATTATTTCCGCCCCATACAACAACAGTACTCACCTTACATTATTTCAGCTCCATACAACAACAGTACTCACCTTACATTATTTCAGCTCCATACAACAACAGTACTCACCTTACATTATTTCAGCTCCATACAACAACAGTACTCACCTTACATTATTTCAGCTCCATACAACAACAGTACTCACCTTACATTATTTCAGCCCCATACAACAACAGTACTGATCTTACATTATTTCAGCCCCATACAACAACAGTACTCACCTTACATTATTTCAGCTCCATACAACAACAGTACTCACCTTACATTATTTCAGCTCCCATACAACAACAGTACTCACCTTACATTATTTCAGCCCCATACAACAACAGTACTGATCTTACATTATTTCAGCCCCATACAACAACAGTACTCACCTTACATTATTTCAGCTCCATACAACAACAGTACTCACCTTACATTATTTCAGCCCCATACAACAACAGTACTCACCTTACATTATTTCAGCTCCATACAACAACAGTACTCACCTTACATTATTTCAGCCCCATACAACAACAGTACTCACCTTACATTATTTCAGCTCCATACAACAACAGTACTCACCTTACATTATTTCAGCTCCATACAACAACAGTACTCACCTTACATTATTTCAGCTCCATACAACAACAGTACTGATCTTACATTATTTCCGCCCCATACAACAACAGTACTGATCTTACATTATTTCCGCCCCATACAACAACAGTACTGATCTTACATTATTTCCGCCCCATACAACAACAGTACTGATCTTACATTATTTCCGCCCCATACAACAACAGTACTCATCTTATATTATTTCCGCCCCATACAACAACAGTACTGATCTTACATTATTTCCACTCCATACAACAACAGTACTGATCTTACATTATTTCCGCCCCATACAACAACAGTACTGATATGACATTCATTCAGCTCCATACAACAACAGTACTGATATGACATTCATTCAGCTCCATACAACAACAGTACTGATATGACATTATTTCCACTCCATACAACAACAGTACTGATATGACATTATTTCCACTCCATACAACAACAGTACTGATATGACATTATTTCCACTCCATACAACAACAGTACTGATATGACATTATTTCCACTCCATACAACAACAGTACTGATATGACATTATTTCCACTCCATACAACAACAGTACTGATATGACATTATTTCCACTCCATACAACAACAGTACTGATATGACATTATTTCCACTCCATACAACAACAGTACTGATCTTACATTATTTCCACTCCATACAACAACAGTACTGATCCTACATCATTTCCGCTCCATACAACACCAGTACTGATCTTACATTATTTCCGCTCAATACAACAAAAGTACTGATATGACATTATTTCAGCTCCATGCAACAACAGTACTGATCTTATACTTTTCCCGCTCCATACAACAACAGTACTGATATGACATTAATTCAGCTCCATACAACAACAGCACTGCTCTTACATTTTTCCCCCGCCCCATACAACAACAGTACTGATATGACATTATAATAAAATAAAATCTTGGAGTGGGACATAGTACTGAGAAATCAGATCACTGTTTGTCTGGTCGATTCTCATTATCTTTGACTTTACTGAGTTACACATTTTAACAGTTGAACTTCTAGAACGAACTATACATTTCCGTAGGTTTATCACGCGGCCAGGACAGGCGGTGAGTGTCCTATATGTCCTGTGAGTGTCCTCTGTGTCCTGAGTGTCTTGTGTGTCTTGTGTGTCTTGTGTGTCTTGTGTGTCCTCTGTGTCCTGCGTGTCCTGTGTGTCTTGTGTGTCCTGCGTGTCTTGTGTGTCTTGTGTGTCTTGTGTGTCCTCTGTGTCCTGCGTGTCCTGTGTGTCTTGTGTGTCCTGCGTGTCTTGTGTGTCTTGTGTGTCCTCTGTGTCCTGCGTGTCCTGTGTGTCTTGTGTGTCCTGCGTGTCTTGTGTGTCTTGTGTGTCTTGTGTGTCTTGTGTGTCCTGCGTGTCTTGTGTGTCCTGCGTGTCTTGTGTGTCTTGTGTGTCCTCTGTGTCCTGCGTGTCTTGTGTGTCTTGTGTGTCTTGTGTGTCCTCTGTGTCCTGCGTGTCTTGTGTGTCTTGTGTGTCTTGTGTGTCCTCTGTGTCCTGCGTGTCCTGTGTGTCTTGTGTGTCCTGCGTGTCTTGTGTGTCTTGTGTGTCTTGTGTGTCTTGTGTGTCCTGCGTGTCTTGTGTGTCCTGCGTGTCTTGTGTGTCTTGTGTGTCCTCTGTGTCCTGCGTGTCCTGCGTGTCTTGTGTGTCCTGCGTGTCTTGTGTGTCTTGTGTGTCTTGTGTGTCCTCTGTGTCCTGCGTGTCCTGCGTGTCCTCTGTGTCCTGCGTGTCTTGTGTGTCTTGTGTGTCTTGTGTGTCCTCTGTGTCCTGCGTGTCCTGTGTGTCTTGTGTGTCCTATGTGTTCCGTGTTTCCAGGGCTCGTCATCGCCAACATACGATTTGTCTTTGAACTCTGGCAGCTGAGAGAAGAGGACAGACAACACCGCCCATGTGTACCCCTGACGTCCTCGCTGATTGATCGATGCGTCCAAACTGATTGATTGACTTGGTGTGTTGTTGTTGTTTCTCTTTGTTTTCTTCACTGTGTCTGCTCACATACAAGTTTTCAACAATCTGTTTGACAAACGATGCACAGTCTTAAGGTCTGTAAGTGTCGTTATGGTCGCTACACATTTTCGGTGGTAAATAGTTGTAGACTCCTGTCATATGGTCAACAGTGGTGGCTAACTTAGTCAAGTGTGTCTGTATTGTTTGCTCTCATAGACTGCACTGGAGATCCATGACACGGTTTTCTTTAATTTCCGAAAAATTTTAACATTTTGTCGACTGGTGCCAACCCACCGTGGTGTTATCTCAAAGTGTGTTTGACCCTAAATTATAAAAGTGTACACCGACGATTTACCACTATAATAAGATTTACACCAACGATTTATCACTATAATAGGATTTACACCAACGATTTATCACTATAATAAAATTTACACCAACGATTTATCACTATAATAAAATTTACACCGATTTATCACTATAATAAGATTTACACCAACGATATACCACTATAATAAGATTTACACCAACGATTTATCACTATAATAGGATTTACACCAACGATTTAGCACTATAATAAAATTTACACCGAAGATTTACCACTATAATAAGATTTACACCGACGATTTACCACTATAATAAGATGTACACCGACGATTTACCACAATAATAAGATTTACACCGACGATTTATCACTATAATAAGATTTACACCGACGATTTATCTCTATAATAAGATTTACAACTACGATTTATCGCTGTAATAAGATTTACACCGACGACTTACCACTATAATAAGATTTACACCAACGATTTATCACTATAACATAATTTAAACCGACGATTTATCACTATAAGATGTACACCGACGATTTATCACTGTAAGATTTACACCAACGATTTACCACTATAATAAGATTTACACCAACGATTTACCACTATAATAAGATGTACACCAACGATTTATCACTATAATAAGATGTACACCGACGATTTATCACTATAATAAGATTTACACCGACGATTTTCCACTATCAAAAGATTTACAGTGATGATTTACCACTATAGCAGGAGTTCACACCGCGGATTTGCCACTATAGCAGGAGTTTAAACCGCTGACTTGCCACTATAGCAGGAGTTTACACCGCTGATTTGCCACTAAAGCAGGAGTTTACACCGACGATTTACCACTATAATAAGATTTACACCGACGATTTATCACTATAATAAGATTTACACCGACGATTTACCACTATAATGAGGGTTACACCGACGATTTATCACTATAATTATATTTACACCGATGATTTATCACTATAATAAGATTCACACCGACGATTTACCACTATAATAAGATTTACACCAACGATTTATCACTATAACAATATTTAAACCGACGATTTAACACTAAAAGATTTACACCAACGATTTACCACTATAATAAGATGTACACCAACGATTTACCACTATAATAAGATTTACACCAACGATTTACCACAATAATAAGATGTACACCGACGATTTACCACTATAATAAGATTTACACCAACGATTTACCACTATAATAAGATGTACACCAACGATTTACCACCATAATGAGATTACCCAAGATTTACCACTATAATAAGATTTTAACACTACCAACGATTTACCACTATAATAAGATTTACACCAACGATTTTACCACTATAATAAGATTTACACAACGAACGATTTACCCACTATTCGAATAATAAGATTTACACGATTTTACCAACGATTTTTACCACTATAATAAGATTTACACCAACGACTTACCCAAAATAAGATTAAACACGATTTACCACTATAATAAGATTTACACCAACGATTTACCACTATAATAAGATTTACACCAACGATTTACCACTATAATAAGATGTACACCAACGATTTACCACTATAATAAGATGTACACCAACGATTTACCACTATAATAAGATTTACACCAACAATTTACCACTATAATAAGATTTACACCGACGATTTATCACTATAATAAGATGTACACCGACGATTTATCACTATAATAAGATTTATACCGATGATTTTCCACTATCAAAAGATTTACAGTGATGATTCACCACTACAGCAGGAGTTTACACCGCTGATTTGCCACTATAGCAGGAGTTTACGCCGACGATTTGCCACTATAGCAGAAGTTTACACCGACGATTTGCCACTATAGCAGGAGTTTACACCGCTGATTTGCCACTATAGCAGGAGTTTACACCGCTGATTTGCCACTATAGCAGAAGTTTACACCGCTGATTTGCCACTATAGCAGGATTTTACACCGCTGATTTGCCACTATAGCATAAGTTTACACCGACGATTTGCCACTATAGCAGGAGATTACACCGCTGATTTGCCACTATAGCAGGAGTTTACACTAACGATTTGCCACTATAGCAGGAGTTTACACCGACGATTTGCCACTATAGCAGGAGTTTACACCGCTGATTTGCCACTATAGCAGGAGTTTACACCGACGATTTGCCACTATAGCAGAAGTTTACACCGCTGATTTGCCACTATAGCAGGATTTTACACTGACGATTTGCCACTATAGCAGGAGTTTACACTGACGATTTGCCACTTTAGCAGGAGTTTACACCGCTGATTTGCCACTATAGCAGGAGTTTACACCGACGATTTGCCACTATAGCAGGAGTTTACACCGCTGATTTGCCAATATAGCAGGAGTTTACACCGACGATTTTCCACTATAGCAGGAGTTTACACCGCTGATTTGCCACTATAGCAGTAGTTTACGCCGCTGATTTGCCACTATAGCAGGAGTTTACACCGACGATTTGCCACTATAGCAGGAGTTTACACCGACGATTTGCCACTATAGCAGGAGTTTACACCGCTGATTTGCCACTATAGCAGGAGTTTACACCGACGATTTGCCACTATAGCAGGAGTTTACACCGCTGATTTGCCAATATAGCAGGAGTTTACACCGACGATTTTCCACTATAGCAGGAGTTTACACCGCTGATTTGCCACTATAGCAGGAGTTTACGCCGCTGATTTGCCACTATAGCAGGAGTTTACACCGCTGACTTGCCACTATAGCAGTAGTTTACACCGCTGATTTGCCACTATAGCAGGAGTTTACACCGCTGATTTGCCACTATAGCAGGAGTTTACACCGCTGATTTGCCACTAAAGCAGGAGTTTACACCGCTGATTAGCCACTATAGCAGGAGTTTACACCGCTGATTTGCCACCATATCAGGAGTTTACACCGCTGATTTGCCAGTATAGCAGGAGTTTACACCGCTGATTTGCCAGTATAGCAAGATTATTCATCCATAATTCACAACTATAGCAAAGGTAAAAACAGATGATTTGCACTATAGCCAGATTGTTCACTGAACACTCAAAACTATAGCAAGATGTACACTAATAATTTACCACGTAGCAAGAGGGTACACAAATCGTTTACCACTATAGCAAGAGTGTGCACCAGTCACTTACCACTATAGCAAGAGTGTGCACCAGTCACTTACCACTATAGCAAGAGTGTGCACCAGTCATTTACCACTATAACAAGAGTGTGCACCAGTCACTTACCACTATAGCAAGAGTGTACACCAGTCATTTACCACTATAGCAAGAGTGTATATCAGTCACTTACCACTATAGCAAGAGTGTATATCAGTCATTTACCACTATAGCAAGAGTGTATATCAGTCATTTACCACTATAGCAAGAGTGTATATCAGTCATTTACCACTATAGCAAGAGTGTATATCAGTCATTTACCACTATAGCAAGAGTGTATATCAGTAACTTACCACTATAGCAAGAGTGTATATCAGTCACTTACCACTATAGCAAGAGTGTATATCAGTCACTTACCACTATAGCAAGAGTGTATATCAGTCATTTACCACTATAGCAAGAGTGTATATCAGTCATTTACCACTATAGCAAGAGTGTATATCAGTCATTTACCACTATAGCAAGAGTGTGCACCAGTCATTTACAACTATAACAAGAGTGTGCACCAGTCACTCACCACTATAGCAAGAGTGTACACCAGTCATTTACCACTAGAGCAAGAGTGTATATCAGTCATTTACCACTATAGCAAGAGTGTACACCAGTCCCGTTCTGTAGAATGTCCCAGTGTTTTTCAAGTTTTCCAAAATGCTGCCCCTAATAGCTTCGCGCTGTCAGATCAAATGTTTAAATTGTGTTTTGATTTCGCTGCCTATGCAGCCCTCCTTTACACGGTGCGCTGATGCGGCCGCATTTCTGTATCATAGCACAGCACAGCCGTGATACCAGTATTGCTCAGCGCCGATGCAGCACCATTTGTAATTGTGTCAAAATCGTCTTGCCTTAAAGAATCTCTCCTCTCATGCATTAGCGTGAGGAGCACAGCACACTCATACACAAATGCACATACACGCACACTCACACACATACATATACATATACACACACATACACATATACATTCGCACAAATACAGGCACATACACACACATGCACCAGTATCACTGCCCCCCCCCACACACACACATGCACCAGTACATTCCTCCCACACACACATATACACCTGTACCACCCCCTCCCACACACACACACATACACCAGTTTCACCGCCCCCGCACACATACACACATGCACCACTACCACCCCTTCCCTCCCCTACACATACATGCACTAGTATCCCCCCACACACACATACACCCTTACCACCCCCTCCCCCACGCATACACCAGTACCACCGTCCACTGTCCTCACCAAACACACATGCACCAGTACCACCGCCCTCACACACGCACACATGCACCAGTACCACCCCTCCCCCCCCGCACACACACACACATACACCAGTACCACCCCTCCCCCACTCACATGCACCAGTACCACCGCCCTTCCCCACACACACAAACACCTGTACCATAGCCTCCCCACCCCCTCCCCCCCACACACACACATGCACCAGTACCACTACCCATCACACACACACATACACCCTTACCACCCCACACCCACATACACCTGCACCACCGCCCCCCACACCCACCACAAACACATGCACCACCAGTACCATCGCCTTCCCACCCCCACACACACATGCACCAGTACCACCGCCCTCCCACACACACACACACATTCACCATTACCACCCCTCCCCTCAAACACACATGCACCAGTACCACCGCCCTCCCACACACACATTCACCATTACCACCCCTCCCCTCACACACACATGCACCAGTACCACCGCCCTCCCACACACACACACACACATTCACCATTACCACCCCTCCCCTCACACACACGTGCACCAGTACCACCCCTTCCCTCACACACACATGCACCAGTACCACCGCCCTTCCCCACACACACAAACACCAGTACCATAGTCTCCCCACCCCCTCTCCCCCACACACACATGCACCAGTACCACCACCCATCACACACACACATACACCCTTACCACCCCCACACCCACATACACCTGCACCACCGTCCCCCACCCCCACCACACACACATGCACCACCAGTACCATCGCCTTCCCACCCCCACACACACATGCACCAGTACCACCCCTTCCCTCACACACATATGCACCAGTACCACCGCCCTCCCACACACACACACACACACACAGAAACATCCACATTTTAAAAGGCTCCCTCCTGTGTACTTAGCCCATGGTGGAGAGGGTGGGTATGCTACCAAGACAGAGAGGCTATCTCTGCAGACAGCTACCCCGACAGAGATGTTACCGCGTCAGATATGCTACCCCGACAGAGATGTTACCACGTCAGATATGCTACCCCGATAGAGATGTTACCACGTCAGATATGCTACCCCAACAGAGATGTTACCACGTCAGATATGCTACCCCGACAGAGATGTTACCACGTCAGATATGCCACCACGACAGAGATGTTACCACGTCATATATGCTACCACGAAAGAGACGCTACCACATCAGAGATGATACCACGTCATATATGCTACCACGAAAGAGACGCTACCACATGAGAGATGCTACCACTACAGAGACGCTACCACGTCATAGATGCTACCACACACAAAAAAAACAACGGTACCACGTAATATATGCCACTACATCAGAGATGCTACCATGTCAGAGATGCTACCATGTCAGAGATGCTACCATGTCAGAGATGCTACCATGTCAGAGATGCTGTCACATCAGAGACCCTACCAAAACAGAAATGCTACCACGATAGTGACGATACCAGGATAGAAACGTTAGCATGACAGAGATGCTATCAAAACAGTGACACTACCAAAACAGAAACGGTATAAAAACAGAGACGCTACCAGAACAGGGACGCTACCAGAACAGAGACGCTACCAGAACAGAGACGCTACCAGAACAGAGACGCTACCAGAACAGAGACGCTACCAGAACAGAAACGCTACCAGAACAGAAACGCTACCAGAACAGAGACGCTACTAGGTCCTGGACATCAGTCAGTTCTGGGACAGCACTATGGCTAGCAAGGTTGGGATCTCCTTAGAGACCGATTGGCAGTGCTGCCGATGACTTCCGGCTGGACGAAACCTGAGACAGTTTTGAGAAATGTTCCGTTCCGTCACAGGAACATTATTAGACATCAGCAAACAAACCAAGCGAAAGTCCATTCAGGCTACAGCAAACAGTATTCGTAATTTAAGAAACAAACAGTTAAAGAACAACATGTTGTCAGTTAAATAACAGTAGTAGTTAGTTAAATAGGAAAACATTATATGTTAAGCAACAGTAAATAGTCAGTTGAAAAACAAAATCGTCTTTCAAACAATATTAATTAGTTAAACAGCAAGTAGTCGGTTTAACAACAGCAAGCAGTTAAACAACAGTCAACAGTAGTTCAGCCACAGCAACGTTCAAGCAGCAGCAAAAAGCCTATCCAACCATTATCACGTGAAAACTAGTTGACCATGTATCTTAGTGCACTTGTATTCATGGCGAGGCGCACACGCCGTCTGGAGGTGACAGGTTTAATTCCCGGCACGGTAACTATAGCTTTCGATTTTTATGTTGTCTAGTGTGTTCTTCTATCTTTCTACTTCTTTCTATGAGTGCCGTTCACAATACTTTCTGTTACTTGATTAATTCACGTGAAAACTGAACTGTATGTTTGTACAATGCGGTCTGAATAACCTTCCATGGAAACACGTGAGCTCACGAAGCAACAAACAGTATTGGAAATGGCTTGGTGTGAAGAAGCTTGATCGGTCAGGCCAGTGGACAAGACAAGTAACGATAAATAGATCATACATTAGCCATCAACGAGTTCTCTTTTGTCTGCTTTTCCCAACATCCTTGAGGCAGATGAGTTATTAATATCCCCACAAGGCTCAAGAGCGGCCCTGACAAGAATTTATATTCAAGTCAAATTGTAACTTTCCAGGAGAAAGGTTCAGTGCAAGCAATGCCACTCAGGCCTGCACCCACATGCCGGCTGTCCCCCTGGACTAGGCAAATACCAAGGACATTTTGCCTGCCAGTTATCGCCGAGTAAATAATCGTGTAATGAGCAAGGGCGTATCCCAGCCTACTCTCTGGAGGGGTATCTATTCCACATCCTGCATTTGATCTCATTAAGCAGTTGGGCAATTTTCTAGCTTCACAATAAACGCCCTCACTGGGCTTCTGTTGAGGTCCTCGGCTAAAAGTGTTGACCGGTTCCAGCAATTGTCGGCGACTAATGGGTTCCATCAAGTTAATATGAACATTTGCTGGTGTGTCACTGGTGACTAGGGGGCGGTTCCTTTTGTCTCCAGCGCTGACAGATATTGGACATGACGGCTCTCGAATGATCCCTATGGCACCACCCACTGCCTGTACAGATGGGTGGAAATAGTGGGTCGCCTGAGTGGATCTGGCCACATGTAACCTGTCTCCTGTTACAATCAATTGAAATCATTTTAATTGTTTGCCAAAGAACTGACTGCTTGTAGTGCTGTGATGTGTGGGTTAGCTCGACAGAAGGTACGTGTTGTCATGTGTGGGGTAGCTCGACAGAAAGTACGTGTTGTCATGTGTGCGGTAGCTCGACAGAATCGTGGTGTTGTCATGTGTGGGGCAGATCCACAAAGTGGTGGTGTTTTGATGTGTGGGCAGATCCACAAAGTGGTGGTGTTGTCATGTGTGGGGCAGATCCACAAAGTGGTGGTGTTGTGATGTGTGGGCAGATCCACAAAGTGGTGGTGATATGATGTGTGGGGTAGATACACAGAGTGATGGTGATGTGATGTGTGGGGTAGATCCACAAAGTGGTGGTGTTGTGATGTGTGGGGTAGATCCACAAAGTGGTGGTATTGTGATGTGTTTGCAGATCCACAAAGTGGTGGTGATGTGATGTGTCTGATAGATGCACAGAGTGATGGTGATATGCTGTGTGGGGTAGATCGTTAACGACTCACAAGAAAATATTTTTATTGACGGCAAGTCCCTGGAAATCATCAGATCAGCATCTGGTCCCTATGTCTGTGTGTGTGTGGGAAGAAGATGGGGGGGGGGGGGCGAGCAAGTTCCCAGGGGGCCCATGCGTTGGGACGGTCCTGCCTGAGAGGCAAGCAACAAACAGTCTGCATATAAGTAAGCCGGATTTGTTAAAAGGATGTGCCTGAAAACTCAGTCTGGAGCAGAGTTCAGCCCAGAAGTGGACGAACAACAAGAACTTTCCGTCTGAGTTTACAGCCGGTGAACGCGAAGATTATTGTTAGTATTAATATTATTATTTTTATCATCATTATGCTGAAAGGCAAATAGATATGATAATATACTGTAAATAATATAAAACAGATAACCAATCAGCTTTAAACAGCTTTAACAAACATACTGGGGTGTGGTACGCCAACCGAGATCCTGGGTTCGGCGTCTAGTTGAATAACCTGCCAGATTTTTGTCGATAATAATCCTGACATTCTGTCTGACCCCAACCCCGCATTGTTATTTCTAGCCAGGATATAAACAGCGTCTTCCCTGAAAACACATACACTCAAACACGAAACACTGGGGACTTAATAGCTAACTGTTATTTGAAGTTAGCACAGAAAAATTAGGGTGGGCTGGTATCGCCGGCTATTCTGTCTGAAGTCGTTTTTAAGTTGTCAAGTCAAATCAGGTCAAGTCAAGTCAATTCAGGTCAAGTCAGGTCAGGTCAGATCAAGTCAAGTCAAGCCAAGTCAGATCAAGTCAAGTCAAGCCAGGACAGGTCAAGTCAGGTCAGGTCAAGTCAAGCCAAGTCAGATCAAGTCAAGTCAAGCCAGGACAGGTCAAGTCAGGTTAAGTCAGGTCAAGTCAAGTCAGGTCAAGTCAAGTCAGGTCAAGTCAAGTCAGGTCAAGTCAAGTCAGGTCAGGTCAAGTCAAGTCAAGCCAGGTCAAGTCAAGTCAAGTCAGGTCAAGTCAGGTTAAGCCAGGTCAAGCCAAGTCAGGTCAAGCCAAGTCAGGTCAAGTCACGTCCGGTCATGTCAAGTCAAGTCAGGTCAAGTCAGGTCAGGTCAAGATTTATGTTTTTAAAACGTTGCCTTCAACAAACAGTTGACGTTAATTTTGTTTAATGGAGGTGGTGGTAAAAGGGGTGCTCAACTTGGCTAAAAAGTTGGGGAGGGAGGAGGGAGGGGTCTTGCAGGGCCCGATCAACCAGGTTCTGGTGTCTATGACGTGGACATAATACTGTTGTTGTAATGGTGAGGTGATGTGCAATTCCTCAAGATTATGATGCTGTGGTTGTTACAATGATGTGGTGGTTGTAACAATGATTTTGCGGATGTTACAATGATGTGGTGGATGTTACAATGATGTGGTGGTTGTTACAATGATGTGGTGGTTGTTACAATGATGTTGTGGTTGTTACAATGCTATTGTGGTTGTTACAATGATGTTGTGGGTGTTACAATGATATTGTGGTTGTTACAATGACGTGGTGGTTGTTACAACGATGTTGTGCTTGTAACAATGATTTTGTGGTTGTTACAATGATGTTGTGGTTGTTACAATGATGTGGTGGTTGTTACATTAATGTTGTGGTTATTACACTGATTTTGTGGTTGTTACAATGATGTTGTGGTAGTTACAATGATTTTGTGGTTGTTACAATGATGTTGTGGTTGTTACAATCATTTTCTGGTTGTTACAATGATTTTGTGGTTGTTACAATGATGTAGTGGTTGTTACAATGATGTTGTGGTTGTAACAATGATATAGTGGTTGTTACAATGATGTAGTGGTTGTTACAATGATGTGGCAAGACGAAGCGTTTTTTATTAACAGAAAACCAGAATATCATTCTTGACCCGACACAGCCCCAACGTTGTCGCAATCTTTACAACTAGTTCTCCACCTGTCACAGCCACAACATAGTCGCAATCTTTACAACTAGTTCTTCACCTGGCACAGCCACAACTTTGTCGCAATCTTTACAACTAGTTCTTCACCTGTCACAGCCACAACGTTGTCGCAATCTTTACAACTAGTTCTTCACCTTGCACAGCCTCAACGTTGCCGCAATCTTTACAACTAATTCTCCACCTGTCACAGCCACAACGTTTGTGCAATCTTTACAACTAGTTCTTCACCTGGCACAGCCACAACTTTGTCGCAATCTTTACAACTAGTTCTTCACCTGGCACAGCCACAACGTTGTCGCAATCTTTACAACTAGTTCTCCACCTGTCACAGCCACAACATAGTCGCAATCTTTACAACTAGTTCTTCACCTGGCACAGCCACAACGTTGTCGCTATCTTTACAACTAGTTCTTCACCTGGTACAGCCTCAACGTTGCCGCAATCTTTACAACTAGTTCTCCACCTGTCACAGCCACAACGTTGTCGCAATCTTTACAACTAGTTCTTCACCTGGCACAGCCACAACGTTGTCGCAATCTTTACAACTAGTTCTTCACCTGGCACAGCCACAACGTTGTCGCAATCTTTACAACTAGTTCTTTACCTGGCACAAACAGATTCACAACCGACTAGCCACGGCCGCAACTGCTGTCTGTGCTGACACTGTCAGATGACACCAGACTGAGACTCGGATCTTACGAGGGAACAGAACATGCAAGACAGACGGGATAGTCAAACTTTGTCGATGAACATTTGAGACGGTCAATGAAAACCAACATGTGTGCCATAGTTTGTCTGTCTGTCTTTGCCTGTCTGCCTCCCCCTCCCCCTCTCTCTTTCTCTGTCTGTCTCTCTCTCTCTCTCTCTCTCTCTCTCTCTCTCATATACACACACATATTTATATATTTATATACACATAAACATACACATCCACACACACACATACATACACACACACTCACTTCCACCTAGATACAGATCACACGCGCGTGCGCACACACCCACACACATACAGACACAGACATACACACACACACACACTCACTTCCACCTAGACACAGATCACACGAGCGTGCGCACACACCCACACACAAAAACAGAATAGCAGTCTGTCGGAATAAAATTAAAGTTTCAAGGACGAGAATCAACCAAGTACCGATCCGGGAACTCTCGTTCAACCCTGCAACCATAAAGCTGTTCTACTGGGCCACCACAACACGCCTATGAGGTCACCAGAAGTCCAGCCTGAATGACTGACTGGATGACTGACTGGCTGACTTTCTACCCCACTAGGACATCACACAAGAGATAAACACCCTCTGACACAATGTGCCACTATGTGGGTGAGGATCGCCGTGGAGAGGTCCCAGAAACCGCGTTGAGCCTTTAGGCCATATTTATGGCCAGACTATATTGCGGCCCCGTGGGTTCGCTCCCTGGTAGAGACGGACTTTTCTTCAAAAATGACCTTGGCTCCCAGGTAGACCCAGCCTTGAGTGGGTACCGGGTGCAATCCCGGGAAGTAGAGGCGGCCGACGTGATGCTGACCACATCACCCATCTTGTGCCGTTGGTCTAGAAAAATATAGGTCTAGCCCTATATGCCTAAAGGCGTGGAAAGGGTCCTTTACTTACTTTTACTATATTGCGGCCCCTGGCGACAGCCGGAGTAGGGCTTCAAATAACGAAAAATTTCATCCTAAAAAGCACGGACAGATAGCCGTCCAGCCTGGATAAGTCGTTTATTGGAGTCATCCACAATTTTGTTTCCCTGGTTCTGAAACTTAATTGTTGTGTATTATCTATTGCCGTAGTTTGCCACAACCC